GATAGAGGGAATAAGAGGGTGACTCTAGGCCTCCAGGCCAAAACACCTGGGAAGCCTCAGTTGCTACACACACACACACACACACACACACACACACACACACACACACACACACACACACTGACACACACACTTACACACATACTCACACGCACATACTCACACACTCTCACACACACTGACACACACATTCACACACTCACACACACTGACACATTCATGCACACACTAACACACACATTCACACACTCATGCACAAACTAACACACACTGACACACACATTCACACACTCACACACACTGACACACTCATGCACACACTCACACACACATTCATGCACTCACACACACTCACACACACTCTCACACACTGACACACACACACTTACACACATACTCACACACACATACTCACACACTCTCACACACACTCCCACACACTGACACACACTGACACACACATTCACACACTCATGCACACACTAACACACACTGACACACACATTCACACACTCATGCACACACTCACACACACTGACACACTCATGCACACACTCATGCACACACTCACGCACACACTCACACACTCACACACACTGACACACTCATGCACACACTCATGCACACACTCACACACATTCACGCACTCACACACACACTCACACACACTCTCACACACTGACACACACACTTACACACATACTCACACACACATACTCACACACACTCCCACACACTAACACACACTGACACACACATTCACACACTCGTGCACACACTAACACACACTGACACACACATTCACACACTCATGCACACACTCACACACACTGACACACACATTCACACACTCATGCACACACTAACACACACTGACACACACATTCACACACTCATACACACACGCATACACACACTCGCACACAGTATCTTTCAGACATTGCCAGCCTCCATCCCTTGACCCATTGGTGTAATGGATGAAGGTCTGCAGCACCAATGGAGTCAAGAGACTCTCACCATTTCACCTGGTATTTGTTGGAGCCAAGTCACTGAAGAGGAGTCTAGGTTATGAGCCCAAGTTGCTTTCCATCTCTGGTTTGCCCACAGCATACTTGATTTGTAACCTCTACCTCTTCCTTCCTCCCTTCCTTCCTCACTCTGTTCATCCCAGCAGCAGAGGCCTTAGCTCTTTTTTCCAGCGAATAAACATGCTTCTCCCTGCCCTTGTCAAGCTTCTTCTGCTCTCAGAGCCCAGGACAACACATCCCAGCTTCCAGGCTGGCTCTGCGGTGAAGCCAAGATCCTTCACAGGTAGGTATCGTCTACAAACTCACCTCCGTTACTCCTCCTCCTGGCCACTACCTTTTGGATACATGAGACCCTGTGTCAACGTTTTAAAGAGTACTTTAAAATAATACATCAGAGGTGTCTTGCTATCTGACCCCAGGCTGGGGCGAGGTGTCCCATGTGATTTCCCAGGTTACACCGAGATACTGGGCTGTCTGTCCCTTCCTCAGTGATACCCAGAGCGGTACACCTCAGCCACTCCAACACCGGGATGCCCTGTAGTACTTGTCACGGCTGTGCAGACTTAACTCACACCTCTTCCAATTCCAGAGCCTGGGGGGTCTGTGTAGATGTAGCTCTTGTCCCAGGTTCTGGCTCAGGACCTGGCTTTGAGAAGCACTACCCCAAGGAGACCCTCATCCGACAGAACCGATGAGTTCATGGCTCCAAGAACTTGGGGGACAGGCCCAGGAGTAGGGCACTTAGCATGGGAACCCAGCTCATGAAGCATCAGTAGCTATGGGTCCTCAGGCAGGCCACCAAGAATTGCCATCAAGGAAATGTGGTATATGTACACATAGAGTATTTTCAAGCTATAAGAAGAGCAACGTCATGTAGTTTACAGAAAAAGAAGATGACTGGAGAGAATCATATTAAAGACAATTAAATCTGTCTCAGAAAGACAAATTTCACGTCTTCTGTCACTCACGGTTCTTATAGATTTTTTAAAACCCATACATTAAAAAAATTATGTATGAACACGTGACGCGAAGGCGTAAGAACCACTGTCTAGGTTGACGAGGAAGAGGGGACCAAGAAAAGACATAAGGGGGCATCTGAGGTATATATTGTTCAATATGTAATTATGGGTATTTAAAGTAAAAGAAGAAGAATCTTCATTGGGGGCGGCAGGCAAAGGCAGCAGTTTGATCTGGCTGCCTGGGTCAGGGGAGCACAGGGCTGGGGAAACCGCCTGCTGGGCAGAGCCCCAGCACCTGGCAAAGGAAGGCAGTTGGTGCGGCCATGCCTTGGGGAACACCAGCTCTGGCCTGTGTGGTTGGCCTACAGTGAGCCATGGATACCCCACTGCAGATGGAGCCTTGGGAGGCTGGCGTTGGCTGGGAGAGGCTGGTGCCCCAGGGGACCCTTTGTGTACGGTACTGGCAGCTGGTTTAAGGTTTGCACACTGCCAGCCTCCGACTGTGGGAACCCCAGGGTGTTTCCTGTGAGGGGAGAGACAGGGTTGCCCCTGAGCCCTGAAGCTGGGAGATGATGGCCAGTGTATACAGGACAACTTGAAATTAGCTTGTGTCTGCAAGAAGCCTGCATGGCCAGATCTACAAGGACTTCCCTGCTGTCTCTGCAGCCACAGCAGCAGGGGCTCTCTTCTCTCTGCCATCCCTTTATTACATTTTACACAAACAATCTGAATTGTCACAGTGCTCTCATTTCAGGAGCTTGCAAGCACAGCGGGCCTGAGGATCAGCAGTATTCAACCACGCTGGACCGCCCCTCCCTCCCCTTCTCCCAACTCTCTTCCCTCCCTCCTCTTCCTCCTCTTCTGGCTCCTATGCAGTGATGGATAGACAGGGATAGACAGAGAAAGCCACAGCCAAGAGCTCTTCCCTGTGGGCAAGGCCACGAAATGTGCCTCTCTCACGAAGCCGCGTAAAGAGCAGTAGAGCCCCAGGCCAAATGCCATCACCATCACCGGGGTCCAGTTTCAAAAGGCACATCACTGTAGGAAGACCTACTCCATGGAAGCTCAAGTCTGAGACAGGAGGAGACACCAGGCTGGGGACAAGGAGATGGGCCAAGTCTTTGTCAGACCCGAAGGGAATTGACCCAGCCAATCACTGAGCCTTCCTTGTCTGTGGGTGAGCCATGCTCAGTTCTCAGCTTCTAAGTACGGAGGCCCTCAGTAGATGGTGGAAACCTCCAACCCCTGCCTCCACTCCAGCAGTTCTCGGTGTAGTGTGGTACAACCCCACACTCTCAGTATTTACAAGGCAGAAGCCGGAAGGTCCAGAGTTCAAGGCCAGCCGGGTTACATGGTGGGACTCTGTCTCAAAATAAAAATAACTACAACCAGAAAGGGAGCAAGCAAACAAATCACCAAGTGAGGATACAAGCAGACACACAGAGAAGCAACTACCTTCTCAGAGCGCAGGCCAGTCTCGCACACCACCCAGCTCCCCATGCTGCCCTTAGCAACCAGGCTGCTAACGGCTCCTTGGAAGTTCTGTGATTGACACCTGTGCTAATGCCACACTGGCAGCTGACGCAATGATTTCCAGCACGTATGGAACACAGCAATTTGGCACTGAGACATACATGTAACAAAGAGACCCTCTCATAGCCGCAGGGCGAAAGGGGTCCTGGGTGTTGAGCTCGGTACCCTTGGTTTCCACACAAATTAAGAGTCCCCTTTTAAGCTGCATGTCTGGGCTGGCTAGCCAATAGGCTGCTCAGGGGTTTCCTCATCCATCAGATGGGAAGAGGGCTCCCCACTGGTGCTGGCTAGAGGGTCCGTGATCTACCAGGGATAGACGGGCTGTGTGCTCCTGAAACACAAGGAAATGGGAACCGTTCTTAGGACCCTGTGTAAATGGAGAGCGTAGCTGATTAACTTTGTCTCTGGTTTTACGTACATTTCCCTGAGTACACATACAGGATAGCATAATGGAAATTAGGCTACTCACCTCTCTCTGTGTGTCTCTGTCTCTCTCATCTCTGTCTCTGTCTCTCTCTCTGTCTCTGTCTCTCTCTGTCTCTCTTTCTCTGTCTCTCAGGGACAGGGGATGGGGGTGCCACAGCACATATTAAGGAATCCTGAGGACAGCCTCAAGTGTCAATCTGCACCTTACAGGCTTTTTGAGAGCCGCCTTCTTGTGGTTTATGCCAGGCTAGCAGGGCCCCCGAGCTCCCCGGGAGTCTCCAGCATCTGCCTCCCATCTTGTTGCAGGGATGCTGCTATTACAGACCTATACTATTATCTGTAGCTTTGTGTGGGTTCAGGGGATTCGAACTGAAGTCCTCATGCTCACATGCACAAGCTCCCTATACCGCCAGCTACTTTTCAAACTTCTGTGTAATGGAACGCTTGGGATTGCTAGAAATGGTTTGATAAGAGAAAAGGAAAGGAAAGGAAAAAACCATTCTAAGCGCCAGCCAGCCACATTTCCACGACAAACTCGAGAAACAGCAGCTATGTGTGAGACTTGAGAAGCCTAGGTTGGGATAAAAGCATCATGCACATTAAAAGGGGGCAGTAACCACAGGGGAGCAGGCTAAGGTGGAGTGGGCACGCAAGGGAGACAGACCTATGAGCACAATCAAGTGGTTTGGACAGATGCTACACCGCCTGGCCACTAGCTGACACTGTGCCTCCATAGAAACATAAGACAGCAGTCTTTTCCAGGCAATAAAACCTCAGAACTCAACTCCGCCATGTGTGAGCAAACCCCCCTCCCACCCAGCCCTCACACCTGGGACGCAGAATTGAGGAGCAGCGGTCTTCAAAGACCGGTAAATGCAGCCTCTGTCTTCAGCCCAAACCACTAGGAGAGTACGTTTTCCTAGAAGTGCCCCCCTGTTACCAGTCAGTGGACCCACTCTCTGAGACTCCTCGAAAGAAAGCAGAGAAGCCATGCATGCGTCTCAGTAAAGGGGAAGAATCCAGGTTTGGAAGAGCCAAGGCCAGCATTGCTTACCTGGAACCATTCACCTGGCTAGGGTTGCATTCCATCTTGATGGTGACCCTGGCTGGGGGTTGAGACAGCCAGTCCTGCTGGGGAACCCGAGGACTCATCTTGGATGTCTGGCCATAGTCACCGGAAGAGGATGCGGTCATCTCTGTCTTAGCCAGGTGTGGCGTTCCGTAGGCACACTCGAATAAGGACTGGTCCTCACTCACGACCGATAATGCCTCCTGGGTGAAAAGACAGAAAGGGACACGGTGTCTCGGAGCCATTTCCAAATTTAGGGGACCGAATTTCACATAGTTCCAAAGGCCTGCCTTTCCACTTTCTACTTAAGAAAGGAGGGAACGGAGTACCTTCGTTTTCTTCCCTGCACTGTAAAAGTTGGAGCAGCCCAGCCTACACGTGTATAGCTGGCCTGGACTGCGCGGGGGCAGACCGTACCCACTTTAATCTCAACACAAGGAAGTTGAATTTCAAAGGTCTCAGAAGACATCCAATTGCATCTGTCATTATTTGACAAATGCAATCTATAATTCGAGCGGACAGGTCACAGAATGGTCACGAGGATTAGAAAAAGAGCTGTGAAGGCTGACACCCAGGTGTCTGTCTGGTGGGACCCCCATGTTCCAGGAGACTCTGAGAGAGGAGTCCTCAGAAGAGGGAAGAGAGATACGACACCAGAGGGCAGCCAAAGGCGCAGCCTTTTCCACTGCCATTAGCAGAATGGGGTTTCAAACAATGCTTCCATGATGGTGGCCATCTGGATGGTAAATGAAGCAAAAAAAAAAAAAAAAAAAAGCTGTAAATTAACCAGATGCTGCCAAATACTGGGATGTTCGAAAGATCTGGACCAGTAAGGAGCTAGCTCGTGCCTACTCGCTCTTTGTCCTCTGATATTTCCATTTATTTTGTGAGGAAAAAAATAGCAACTTGTCCCAATGGGGACATTTCCCCTCCGTGCTTAATTAAATGGTGGGCCTATGGTTGTGCTCAGAGTCTATGAGCGAATCAGCAAAGGCGGATTTGACTTAGAAATTTCAGCTGCTTGAATGGGATGAATGATGCATCGTACAGGTACTACCACGCACGCGCAGCAATCACAAAACAATCCGATTTCCTAGAACATGAAAAAAGCCCTCCCCCTCCAGACAGCTCATGACTATGTCTGTTTGCATCCTTAGGACGCCTGCTCAACAGGGTTGCCAACTAAGAAGTCCAGCGGCCCTGTGCGCATGCGCCTGTGTATGCGTGCGCCTGTGTCTCTTCACGGCTGTGTATACACACATACAGGTCACGCCAATGGGAAGTAGCTTCCTAAAATCGTTCTTCATCTTATTTTTGAGGCAGGACCTCCTCCTGAACCCGAATCGAGGTCGCTTGATCTCCTAGTGAGTGAGAACCCTGAGCGTTCCTGTCTCTGCCTCCTGATGCAGGGATTACAGGTGCGCACCATCATGCTTGCAGTGTACACGGGTGCAGGGGACCTAAAGTCAGGTCTCCGTATTTCTATGCAAAGCAGTTGGGCCACTTAACCATCTCCCCAGCAATATATATATATATATATATATATATATATATATATATATATATATATATATTTTTTTTTTTTATTTTTTTTTTTTTATTTTTTTTTTTTTTTTACTGGACTTGGGACCCAGGGAGGAGGTAGGTAGGGGGAAAGGCACAGAAACCTTTCTCATGGCGGCGACCCAGAACCGTCAGAGCTGAGCTAACTGAATGAGATGGCCAAGGCAAGCCAGGGAATCTGTGAAGGTGCAAACCAGTGCCACCACCACCCGTTTCCCAACTCCCGGTTCCACTGGGAAATAAGCTAACAATGTCACTCTATTCTCATTCTGCAGGCAGACCTTAATGTTAAGTAAAACTGCTCACGGCCAGTTGCCTGGTTGAAGATGAAGTCCTCCCTCCCTCCCCAGACAAGACAGAACCACACCTTCTCATGAAGCACACCCCCTCCTCCCTCACACCCCTCCTCCCTTGCTCCTTCTACTGTTTCTCACCACCCCATCTCAGCCCCTGAGGACCAACCATCCCTCTGCTTCCCACAAGCACGGGCTTCTTTGGTTGACTAGCGCCCACCTCTTAATGCGGTAGCAGGTAACTGTGCACAAATAAAGCTCAGCCTTGGCTTCAGCCTGTGACAGCTCTGTAAGACCCAGGGGAAGAACATGGCGGGAGTTTCAACAGGCACAAGGTGGAGTGGGCATCCTAACTACGCAACACATTCATGTCCACGCGCAGATCATGAAGTTGCAGCCCCAGGTGACGAGGGTACTAGCAGCTCCCTGAATGTCAGGGCGAATGAATTACGGAGCAGTCTTCACTGGTCTCGTTGGATGCACGAGTTAAGGACTTTAATCTCAGAGCTGTGGGGTCTAATAGGTCCCCCAAAGTCCAACAAAGTCCAACGGACCTATTAAAGATGGAATACTATGTCCTGAGCTTATTTTTCTGGTCAGGTTCCCCTTCCTATGATCATATAGACGATTTATACCCTCAGGACAGAAAACAAGGCTGGAAGCTGCTCCTGCTCCTTGTCAGGCGCAAGGGCTCATGGAGAATAACATACTATGTAATGTTAACTTTGGCTCTTTGATGAGAGGACACATGAATAAATATGTGATTTATTATCAGAAACTGGCAAAAACAGGTTCCACAGAAGGGACTGGGAAAATGTGAGGTTGTATTTTTAAAAATTACAAGTCTTGAATAGCAACAACAACAACAAAAAATAGTAACTTAAAATTTTTATTCTCAGGATAAAGTAAGATATTCTTGTAAATAAAGCCCCTGGGAAAATGAATGTGGTGCAGGATTGGTGGGGGTGGACTGAAATACCCCAGCTAAAGCGAGGCCTAAGTATGTGTGTGCTTGGGAAGGGATCTTCTCACATCTGGCAAAGTATAATTTCACACATGGTCTTCTAAAGAAAGAAATCAAAGTTAATTGAGATCGATTTAAGTGAGTGGGGAAAACCTTAAAATGCTGGCGATAAGAAGGGCACATGGCCTTTCTTCCTCTCAGAACATTCTTCTCAAAGTCAGAGCTGCATAAAAATGAGGAAGGCGGTATAATTCAAGCACTCTGTTGCTTTTGTTCGTGAGGGAAGAAGGATTCTAAAAAGATTGAAGGCCTGAGATAAATGCTTCAAAGCAGGTGAAATATGGATCCCATCCTAAAAAGAAGTCCAAAAGCTCCCCCCAAAATAACACAACACACACACACACACACACACACAGACAAAACACACACACAAAATAACACAAATATACACACACAAACAAAACACACCACACACACACACATACATACATACACACAAACAAAACACACACAACCCACCACAAAGAAAACACACACAGAACCATTCAACACAGACACACAAAACACAACACACACACAGAAACACACATAAAACACACAGAGACACACAAACAAGACACACACACACACAAAACACACCGGTGCAGAAAACACAAGCAGACACCTAACACATACACTCCTACACGCACATATCATTCACACATAGACACCCACATGCACGCAACACACACTCACGTTCCCCACACACCACAGGGAGATATAGAAAGCTGAGGGGTAGATTCTGAGTCCTGTGTCATTGGCTTCAGCCACAGATGCAAACATCACTTTGTTCCCCGTTCAACCACGCTGTTTCGAGTCAGAATGATAAGACAGACGGAGCCCTGAGCATCAGCAGCTTCTGTGCCCATAGCCCAGCACTTTAGAATGATGAGGGCACTGAGCTTACTGGCATAGACACCAGAAAGAGCTGAGTGGAACTTAGGAGCATGGGAGGTCCCTAACCTCCAGCCCCGGGGAGAGTTTCTCACCTTGGCTTTAAATGTCCTTGCTTCCTAGCTGCCCTGTTCTGTTAGCCGACCTTCTTGCCTGCCTACTGCTCTGCCTGCCTATCTGCCCAGAGATCTGTCAGCAGAGGCCTTAGATATTTCTTTGCAAACTTCAGCCAGCCCCCGGGTTTGGGAGATGCTGGGGTTGCTTTTTAACCAAAAAATTTAAAACCAGGCGGAATCTGGCAGGAATGTAGCCTAATAATGTAATATTCCCACCTCTGCATTGCTATAAATAGGCCTATACTCTAGATCTGTGTGTGCCAGTGTGTGTGTGTGCTTTTGTTATGACCTTAAAAGAAGTACATAAATTCTAACTGAACTTCCCCCCGGGGGGAAAAGAAAAGGTACCGCTGTACTGACACACCAGTGTTTATTGTCTCGTTTGAGTAGCAGCAACATCAGCAACAGGACCCTCTTCATGTTGGTCCTGCATGTGACCGCAATCAAGGAACAATTCAGGAAAGGGAAAGACACATCAGGTAGACTATGTGGTACACTGAAGTGTCAGAATGAGCACGTATGTTCAAGAAGCTGAATTTGGAAACCAAAAGCCTTCCGAAAGAGCTCCACTGAAAACAGGAATGGGAACTGAACTTCACATGCCTACTGATATTTCCAGTAAAAGACTTCAAGGAGACTGGAGAGAGGCTGGGTAAAACGCTTGCTGTGCTTTGGGTCTGCAATACCCACATCCATCACCCCAGTGCTGGGCATGTGGAGAGATGAGCATCCTTGGGGCTTGAGGACCAGTGATGCAATTAAAGAAGGCTCTACATTGATCTCTGACCTCTGCATCCCTCCCTCGCACTCACAAACACACTCACATGCACACACATGCACCACACACACACACACACACACACACACACACACACACAGACAAACACACACAGAGACAGAGAACCCCAATGCTGTTAGACTCATTTCACTGAAAGCTGCACAGTCAGGGTCTCAGCCCAAATTTGTTTCTGATTGGTGACCCTCAAGACTCCATTGTCCACACAGAGAATCCACCCACCTAAGTTTCCTTGAGAACCTGGAAGGATGAAGTGCGGACAGGCAGAAAATCTCTCAGAAGGGTCGGTTCTCCATCACAGGAGTGCTGAGGTCAGGGGTTAGCAACCATCCATGCTTTTTGAAAACTAGGAAGACAGTCAGCTGTCAACCTCCAGGGAAGCAGTCTAAAACCAGTGTTCAGTGGCCCCAGAGATGATCGGAAGCCATGATTTGGTAGTTAAGCCCTCCTAGCACAAGGAGCCATAACCCAGAAGCCCAGTCTCACCCTCGCCAGTAGCAGCCTGCCCGGCCAAGCTCTCATCCCATAATATTCCATA